CCCTACCAAAATGGCTCAAGGATATTCATTTTTCATGTTCTGCTCCTTCTCTGCCCACAGAGTTCTTTCTCGTGGTGGTGTGTAGGAGTATATGAGGGATTTATCCTTTTCCCACTGAATCACTGCAGCATAACATCTTTTCAACCCTTCTGTACAGCAGAAAAGAACCTAATATATTCTCTCTATTTTCCTGTTTGAGAAGCTATCCAGTTAGCTCAGTAGCACAGTCTGGCTACAGACCAGCTAGTTTTGGAAAACAGCATCCTCTTCAACGAGCACAGATTCCTACCTGAAGGAAGTACAAAGGGCTGCTCTTGAACCACAGAGTGAACCTGTCAGCTACTTTCTGCCAGTTGGCTACATGAAGCTCCAGCTAACCCAGCTGTGATCAGTTTTTAAAGAAAGCACAGGTGCTACAAGAATCAGCCAGCTGGAGTGGAGGCAAGGCAGGTCTTTCTGTGCTTTATCAAAGCCCTGCTGCAGAAACTGGCCTGGTACCCTTGCTGTATGTAGTCTTTGTTCCCCTGTTGGAGGCCCTTTGAATCTCCTTTCAAATCTTGTCAGCTTTTCTTAGATTTAACTCTTTGTAAGGCAGGTTTAGTGGGTTGCGTTTCTGTCACAGCAGTTCTATTACCTACATATGCACGTCTTTCCCGCCCTTCCCAGAAGTCATCACTTTCGTGGCTGGTCACAATGACTAAGAGAGAGAACCGCTTATCTAGTCAGCATGGTAGGTACCGTCTAACCCAGATTTGGCCAAAGGGTGGGAAGCCTCACGGTGGAAAGGGCCAAATTCCAGTTCCCTTCTTGCAGCTTAGTAACTTGACTCCATTAGTAGTGGAGCTCAGTGGAATGATACAGTCTGAGCAGGGGCATCGGAATCTAGCCAAAATGGGTCCAAATCGTCTAAGGCCCAGACAAGCACAGTAACAGCTATTTTGATTTTAACTCTGGGTTAAGTTTCATAACACCTCTATGAGATGCTCCAGGTAGGTGTTAATCCAATTAGAGAGGGGCACATGGTTAAGATCCACCTAAAGTCAGTGACACCCAGATCACCTATATACAGTTCTAGGCTTTTTATACTCTAGGTCATGCTTCTTGGTGGGAGGAATTGATACATTTACCATAGGGCACATGCATGAAAAAGAACCCAATACCACCTGTAAACTTATTAAAATTCACCCAGTCATCATTTTTCTTGTCCTTACCATCTCCTTGTTTGCATGTTGCTTACCTTATGAGCTTTTACCTCCACCTCTTTCTGCAATGAACTTGGGACCCTTGCAGTGCTACATAAAGAGTAACAGATTTCAAGCTTTACCCACTCACTGGATCTGGGGTAGGAACTTTCCGATCAGGTCTGGCCCATGGAGCCAGTGGTCTTGGATGGTGTTTCAGTGAGAGGGGGGTGGCAGCTGGGTCCTAGCACCAGTGCACCTTAGGCCCAAACATGGACATTCTGGCTGGGTGCTAGAACAAGTTGCCTACTGCTACCCTACATCATAGGGCAGGAGATATAGCTACCCAGCTCATTCCTTCCCACACTTGTCCTCATCAGGATAAATAAAACAAAAACCAAAAAATAAGCATGTCACAATGATAGGCAACGTAAAAGAAAACAGTGTTTTAATTCTTAACAGACACTTACATCCTTACTGCTTTTTTTTCTCTTTCCTACCCTAGCGTGGGTGTGTTAAACACGGCGTACAGACTGGATCTGGCCTGCAGAGCCCCATGCTGTCCCTGGGTTGCCTGGACCCAGCGCAGCCCCACAGGTAGGGCCCAGAATGTATGCTGCACTCAGCATCTGCTCCAGCCAGTCCAGATCCAGCACTGCACGTAGCATCTACAGGTGCGGAGTGCAATGCAGGTCCCAGACCAACTAGAGCTGATGTCACCTGAGACAGTCCTGAACCAGCTGCCAGTAGTGCTGTGTGCAGCACAGATCCTTGAGTGGCTGGAAAATGCCGCAGGCAGCACTCTGGACAAAGCAGATGCCACTTGTAGCATGGTGCCCACTCTGGGATCTGTCCTACATGTGATGCCTGTTGCAGGCGGACCATGCTGCTTGCAGCCCCCATTTAGGACACTCCAGGTGTGCCCACCCCAGCCACTCTGGGATACATACTGCATACAGTGTAGATCCCAGAACAAGTATTGCCTCTTGCATGGGGGGGGGGGGAGGAGGAGAAATGGGTCCATGGGCCTGATCTGGCCCATGAACTGTCCTCATGACACTCAGCCCATGGGACCATAAGTTTGACGCATCTGCTCTAAGTGTCAAAGGTATCAAACTTGTTTGGTTCAACAGGCTGGATCTGGACTATTGGGCTTCCCACAGGCTGGATCTAGACTACCAGGCTCCCCCTGGCCTAAATGATCCATAAGTGGCTGCAGTGATGTTAATACCTGCAGCTGTCCTTGCTGTTTTAGCACAGCTCCAGAACCCAAGGAGTTCTGGTTTCTTCTGCTCACCCTACCACCTTTCCCCTGCCATCAATTTTAAGTCACCAGGAGGTGACTAAAACCCCCAAGTTTCAGCAGCAAGGAAGCTGGGGGTAGGCAAGTGGCATTAACGCCCTGGATTCTGGAACCACACACGAACAGCAGTTCCAGTAGCTCTGGGGATTAATGCTGCCCCCGCCCCAGGATCCAGCAGCCAAAGCAGTGAGATTCATGGTTTGGATCCTGCTCCTGTAGCTAGGTGGTTCAGTCCACAAGATGCCTCCCAGCTATGCAACTCACCTCAGCAGGCTGGATCTGGCCTATGTTTGACACTCCTGCTTTAGTAGAAAAGGTAAAATGGGCATTTTCTACAATGAATCTGGCAACCTAGTGTTGTTTTGAAATGTTTCTATGTTCAGTCCTACCTTGTTTCATGGTCTTAGCTGCTTGGCCTTTTTGTTCTTTTGTATCCAGGTTTTATCTCATCAGCCTCCCTATTCTAGCTTGTTTCCTCACCAGCCCTCCCCCTTGTACTCAGTCTAGGGTGACCATGTGTCCCATTTTTATTGAGAGTCCTGGGCATCCTGTTGATTTTTTCATATGGACACTTTCTTCCCAGTTTTCAGAAACCGCTGTTCTCCAGCCAGGGGCCATGACTGGCTTGCCGGTTCTCCGTCTTCTCACAGCACTATGCAGCACTCTTCCCCAGCTGCCTGGTAAGCTCAGTTGAGACTAGAGTTTGGAGATGGTCGAGTGTGCAGAGCTATGGGGCTGGAGACAGTCCTGCAGGAGGCCAAAGGACCTTTGAAAAGGAAGTGCTTATGTTACCCCTCTCAAGCTACCTCATTTTGAGACTTGGGAAATATGGTCATCCTAATTCAGTCTTATCCCCCCTCAAACTTTACCCTTCCACCCAGGAACAGGCTGCTTTTAAAAAAGCAAAGTGAACTATGTCCTCTGACCCAGGCACATGCTTAAGAGTAACAGAGCAGCTGAGCAGGATGAATATTTGCCTGAGGTTAGAGCTGCTGCTACCTCATGCATAATCTGCTACCTTAAGAACTGCTGATGACTTGAAGGCTCCTGCAGAAGTGAGTGTGGATGTAAAAGGACAGGTGGCAACATGCATCATCTTGCTGGTCTCCTGCAACACAGATAGAGCTGCCCTGAATCTTGCCCACAGGCTCTGGGCACTTGAGTATCTCTATCAACAAACAACTATAATACCAGTCCGATCACATGATCGCTCAGCGAGAAATAAATACCCGAGCAGAACTACATGGAATAGGGGCTTCTTCCAGCAACTATTGCATTTTCAGCTCCTTCCTCTCCCTCTGTGCAGCTGTCTGTACACCATTTCCCTTCCCTCATCACCCAAGAAAACTGCCATCTCCCCTTAGAAGAAGAAAGGAACAGAAACAGGGAAAAAAATTAAAGAGTTGTCATGGTGAGTTTTATTTTGTAAGCAACAATATAAGCAGGTGCATAAAAGGTGCAAAGGGCTGACCTTTGACGCAATGTACCCTGGGTGAACCAGAATCCAGCAACCCCTCACTCTTCCACAATGAGCAGATGGGGAGTAAACCTTTGCACACATCTACAGAGGCTACCACTGCCTATACAGACAGACTTGCTCACTTGAGAGACTGGGCTGTAGTCAGTCAAACCTCCTGTCTTGAAAAAATGTAGTGGAGTACTTGCCATCTGTGCAAGATCTAGGAATGTTGTGAAGAGTTTAAACCCCCGATCCTACCCCAGGTACAAAAATCATACAGCTGCAAACAGGTTAAAAAGAAAAAAAAAAAAAAAAGAAAAAAGGAAAGGACTTTGCGTATATTAGGATTGAAATGGTCTGCTGGACCACCTTAGCTAACCAACTGGTTAGGACACAATTGAATCATACTGTATTTATAAATCAAAAATAAAACTATATCATAAACTTTAATTTATAGCAAATTTAATACATTAGTGTTTACAAAATAAATTCTGTATTCTACTGAAACTGTGTGGTGATAAGATGAGCTGTCTTTCCCTACTGTAGACTGAAAGACAAGTAAGCTCTTGACATTGAAGAGCATCTCCTGTGGTTCATGCAGAGCTTTTGGTCATGCCCGATATTAAGAGGGAAGTTTCCTGCAATTTTAAAAGTTTGCTGCTTCTTAAATTCTATAACTATACTTGTATAGTTCAAATGTTAAATCAGTCCACTCACAAGTTCTAGACCATAATACATGAATCATGTTCCATGAAACTACTCGGCTACTAACCAGTGCTATGGCTAACATTATAAACTGAAGATATATCCTACCCATATTATTAGTACACACAACATAAAGGACCAAATATTACTGTACACATTCATCTCCTATTTCTAGCAGCAAAGCTGCAAACTCCACTACTTAAAGTAAGATTCTTCAGTGAGTGAAACAGTACAATACAATTCAAAGAACATTTATAAACAAACATTTTAATAGTATAAAAAGTTGTTTACTGGTGTTTCTACTATAAAGCTTTGTTCCACAAATCAAAAGTGATAAAATAAGTAGACATGTTTACAGTTATCAGAGACTGCAGTGTAGACATTCCAGCTCACATTTTGCTCATAATTTCAGTATGACATACATATTTATGACAGAGCAAACTGCAGACATGAAGTGAACACCTTAGTATGGAAGTTTATCTACTGCACCTCAGAAAGCACTGTGGGCAAAAGCTGTATTCAGGAACTAAGGCATGTAACTCATTTCACTGCAGAAATGCAACTCTGCAGCTGAAGTTACATTGAGAATGCACACATACCATGCAAAATCCCAAATTCTGTAAATAAAGCCAATTATTTTTCTTGAGACAAAATGATACCTGCAAAAGTGAAAAACCATGTACAAAAAATAAAGATTGTCAAATAAATAATGAGTACAGATGTTAACTAAACATACATAAGGAAACATTGGCATACTGTATGCAGTATACGGTATATTCATTGAATCATGTAGGTTGGGCAGCACCTCATAATAGGTTATCTACCAGTAATGTATCCCCCTTCCCATCTTCTTTATGCTAGCTTATGGTATGGGTATGAAACGCAACCTTTGAATACTAATACGTTAATCCTGCATCACACTCAAATCTCTGCCACATTTAGGATGCATTGTTGGTTTGGTTTTTTTTTTAAGCCACAGTAGTCCAAAATATTATAAAACTTTCTGAATTACAACATTTGGCAGTCCTGTCAGTGACACTTAGTCTGGAGCCAATAAGTAGGACACTCCCCCATGCTAGTGATTTTTTTCATATTCATCACTTCCAAATTGCAGATAGGTAGTACATGTGTGTTATGTAAAGGCTGCTGAAACTATTTAAATGACAGTACATTAATAAGTTTCAAATATGTCTGCTATAATACAGGATCAACTTTATCAAATGCTATATCCAGAGAAAACTGTAAACCATGAAATATCTTCTGTATTTTCTAATTTTTTTTCCTACAAATATAATTGCAAACAGCTGTGAATTGTTACTACGTTCTCTTTCCTAGTTCACCAAGGATTTTAACTCGAATGTATAACAACCATATATCTATGCTAGATACATTTAAAGTAGACGTTGAAATTTCAAGTAAAATGAACTGTAGCCACATCTACTGGACTCAATACATGTCCCAACATCTAGATTTACTTTGATAAGTTATACAAATACATAATACATTCTTAAATAATGCAGGCTCACAATATTAATTTGTGAACCTTTCCACATTATAAAACCACTTTACAGGAATGCGTATCCACCTGTATTACTGTTCTAGATTGCAATGTCTCTTGTTTTTCTGTTTCCACAGACTACTATACCAGTTCTTACACTTTGGCTATGAAATCTCTTATTTGAATGAGGCAACACTGGTTATTAAGGCTTGTTTGTTTCTCCTCAGAAGTTTTATTTCAACACCATTTTCCAGAGAAGAATGACTATCTTGTATCTTCAGGTTCTGTTTTTATGACCTTCCTTTCTATGTTGTTAAAAGCTGAGTGAGGAAAATCTTTTAAGATGCCAAGGCCTTCTGCATAAATAGAAAAGAGGTGTTAGGAAAGAGTTCAGTGAAATAAATATCTTCTGCTCTTACCCTAAGAAATGGTCAGCAAGCTGCACAAATGCTGCTGCTATTCACAGAAGACGCGCATACGAGAACTTTTCTCCACTCTTTTACAGAAACATCCAAAGTCTAGACAGCGGCTGCATCACAGTCCCACTAGAGGTGCAGAATAGGACGCAATTGATATTGCTCACTAATTCCCTATTCACCAGGGAGCGGAACTTAGCAATGGTAAGTGGCATGAGCAAGTTGAGTGTAGTCTTGGGTGTGTCAAGGCTATTAATTAGTAAGTCCACCAGCTGTAAACTTCTAGGACAGAGGGGACTGCTGGAAAAAAAAGTGGAGTGTTGCACCAGCAGTAGGATGGACATAGCCAGAATACAAACGATTTTGGCCAGTTCTCAAATACGAAGTGACCCCTGAAAAAAATCACTACTCTGCAGTCATCCTCCCATCTCCATAATACTATCAATGCTTGAAATAGAAAAGTCTCAGAGTCAGTCACACACTTACACCAGTTGAGTCAGTTTTACATTTAATACACGTTGGCAAAGTAGAATACCCAATCTAGACTTCACAAAGGAATAGTCGTTTCTCCTTCTCAGCAGGCTCAGAAGTAGTTTCAATGTTTACTAGTATACATTACATGAGAAACAATGACCAGAAATCATTTAATAAAAAGACTAGTAGAAGCGCAAAAGACCTGATTTATGCAGTCAAAACAGAAACTCAGCTCTGAACCAGATTCTAACATGGCTTTATTCAGTGTAGGTGAATGGATCCGACTCTTTATAAAACAGGGTTAAAGAGACTTTTTGAAATACCCTGCTTTAAATATCATTTGGTTCCACAGGTTCTCATATTATAACCCTGTGAGTTTTTGAGCTGTAGTTCAATTTGGTTGTTTTGTCTGTAGAGACAGATTTCAAGCATCTTCCCTAATCTGTGCATAATTACCTGCTCTATGAAAAGCCTACCTCAAACCACAACATTTAATAATTTTCGTAAAATGCTCAATATCAAAACACTAGTCCTGAATTTTCATTTGTAGCATATGTATATGAAAGAATTTAGCTTTCATAGATCATCGTCAGATAGAGCTATCTATCTAGCTATCTGACAATGGTATATGAAAGCAAATTCTTCATGGAAAAAGAGAATTAGCTAGGCAGGCTCCAGGCCTCCAGGCTTTCCGAACCTCACCTGTGAATGGGTAGTTTAAAAAACCTAGGAAAAGATAACACTTACCTGAGGACTGAGACTTTGCCTCACTACTAGAGTAAAGCCTGATCAAGTCACTGCAAAGAGGTTTTCCAGAGTGCTGCTCTCCATCTAGGGAAAGGTGTTGCAACTGTCTGTTTTGCAGGTTCGACATTCGGAGATTCAGGGGCCTTTCACCTGAAATATTCAGTATTGAAATATTCATATTTGGAAAGCAAGCCAATGCTAGGAATCAAATTCAAGCTAAAAATAAATAAAAGGACACACTAATTCTATCAACAAGAAGCACAACCTAGCTTTTAGCAATACTGGGGATTTCTTGTAATAAGAGAGACGTGTAAAATGCTGATTTGCAAAAAACCAACCCCCCCCCCGACTCTGGTTGTTGCTATAAAAAGGAGGCTCAGCCATACCAAATCCCTTATTTTGCCCAAAAACATTTTAGGGTTGTACAATCTCCAACTCTGCCTTACATGTTGAAATACAAGTACAACAAAACTAACCCTTGAACTGTAAAAGGCAGTACAGCTCTGCTTAGTGCCTAATACCCTGCTGGTGATACATAAATAAAACAACCAACAGTTGCATAATATCTAGTACTTTCACCGGCAGCAAGAAGATGCCTGGAAGCTACTATACCTTGTCCATCAGCGTTATCTAATGACATGCCATTGGGGCTGTGCTCTTCTGAACTTTGTCTGTAACACCCTGCAGAAAGGCGTCTCTCTGCTTGTTGCAGTCTCTCTAACCCTGCTTGGTTGCAAAAAAACTCCATCTGTTTTGCCATCAGTTTTTCAGACTGCAAGTCAAGCAAGAATATATATGTTTGTCAATATACAGGAAAAATAACAACAGCTAATATAGCTAGCTGACTTGATAATAGTTTTGTGTTGGCTTGTAAGTACAGATGCGTGCTTTACAGCTTCTTTGAAACTATGAAGCAAACAAAGTATTTTTGCACCAAATAGAGAATTTCACACAGTAGAGTGTGTCACTCAGCACAAAACGCATGCTGTTTCAGTCAATCAACATAAAAACTTCTCACCTAAGACGACCAATTTTCTGTACCTTAGGACTGGAGGTTAGACTTAAAAGGTATTCCCTGAAGCAAAAGGTATTTGCTTTATTATCCCATTTAGTTGTACTGAAATACATATCTTTATAAATATTCCAAGAGCAATGGCAACATCTGCTATAAACTTATGCCAAGATTTCACCAGACATCTTGGAGTCTTTATTTTAGGAAACAGCACTATACAAGTTTAAAAAGCTGCTATCCTGAAAGTGTAGGATGACAGTATGTTTGTGGGGGATAAAGGTGCGAAATGTCTGGCTAGAAGAAGAACAAGACCTATACACCTCTAGCAAGTGAAATTAAAAAATGCCGAACAACGTAGGAGGAGATGTGTCTAATGTTTGTCGTCAATAGGAGAATATCAACTTTCAGTATGGTCTTGTTCTCAAGATTGTGAATAAACATGTTACGAGAGTATAAAGAAAAACCACAAGTTAAGTTAATGTCCTTTTCAAAGAAACAGGGGAAAAAGCACACAGAATTAGCATTCAAATATGCTGATAAACAGAATTTTACAGGTGTTCTGGAGGTATTTCATAACTGCTGCCAACAGGATATGCATAACTTAAAAGGAAGAGAGCTGAATCTTCCAATGTGTTAAGCCTCACTTGAGACATGACCAATCCCCTGCACTCCTACTGAAGTCTCTGGGCTCAGTTTATAATAAGTTTTTATAAATATGCTGACAGTTAAAAAAGCAGGACCAAGTCCTAACTTCTCTAGTAAGTTGTTGACCCTTAGAACAGGGTACAGGCTTGTACTTATTCCATATTTACTTATCTTTATTTAAAAGTCATGATGTTCGACAAGAGAAACACAGAATCCAAACTATGATCTCGACAGTTAGGTAAATGGAGAAATTTTCAAATGGTTCATTTTCCAGTGTGTTTTGGTTTTGCCAGTTTAGGTGCCAATTCTGTTAATAGTTTAAGGTTTTGAAAAATTGCATTTAAAAAAACCAATTCATCTTTACTATCAAAGTTGGTCCCCAAAAGAATTTACAGTGGTTTTCATCAATCGCATCTTTCAATGGATATTTAAAAATATTTCAGTTTGAGTGAACAGTTATTTAAAGATGCAATTTATCCTTTCTAAGCACCTGGAGGAGAAGGTGGTGATTAGCAGGGATCTGGGTTTTCCATTTCCCACGGAAAAACAGAGTAAACTGCAGATTTTCTTTTTTTACCAGAGGCAAATGCAAATTTCTTGTTTTACAAGAGAAAATGTGGATTTTGCCATTTTGCAATGAGCTCCCTGCAGCCTGGTAGAGTTACAGCCTGCAGGGAGCTTGGAGGGAGCAGAAGGAAGGTAGTGAGACAGAGGGGCGCCACGTGCATGTACAGTACATGCATGTAGCCCCAGGTAGCCTGCACAGCAGGTAAGTGGGATAGAGCAGGATTGAGGCCCCTGTAGGGAGGGAGCTGGGCTGGGCTGGGCTGGGGCTGCTGCCCAGCTGGGCAGGGCTTTGGGCCCAGGGCTGCAAGGTGTGGCTGTAGCACCCCAGCAGGAAGCAGGACGGGGCCACTGGTGGCTTGTCCAGGAGTTGGGGAGGGCTGGCTCCCTGCTGCCATACGCACTCCTGGGGGGGGCTCAGAGGGAGGACCTATAGCCCCCAGATCTGTGCGTGGGGCAGGTATAGGCTGTGGATGCGGGCTCCCTGTCCTGCTTCCATCTCCCAGGGCCTCCACAGCCCAGTGGGCACAACTTGATGTGGCTGGGGACAGTGGGGATCTCCTTGCTGCTGTGAGCTCCCCCCCGCCCACCGTGCATGTCACCACTTTGAGAATTGGAGCCCCATGCGCGGAAGGCACATTGCCAGGGCAGCGCAGGGCGAGCAGGTTCTCCACGCAGCTCCAGTGCTCCCTGCTGCACCAGGTGGTGCCCACCAGGCTGCAGAGGCCCCAGGGAAGGGCAACAGGGAACAGCATGAATGCACGGAGAAGCTGCTCACCATTGCTCACTCTGCCTTGCTTCCCTTCCCCAGGGCCTCCACAGCCCAACGGGCATCACCTGATGCAGCAGGGAGCAGAGTCGTGCAGAGAGCCTGCTCACCCCACGCTGCCTTGTCAACGTGTCCCCTGTGGGGGTGGGGGGGAAGGAAGGGGGAGTGAAAGGCATGAGCAGGGCCAGGGGGCTGTGGCTAGGAAGCAAGGGACACCAGCAGGGCTGAGGGGGGGAAACGAGGGGCACCAGCAGGGCCAGAGGGCTGTTGTAGGGGGAGTGAAGAAATCAGCAGGGCCTGGGGGGCCATTAATTTTTAATTATGGAATTTTTTTAAAATCAGAGAATTTGAATTTTTTTTTAATCAGGGAAAAGCAGGATCCCTAGTGATTAGAAACAGTCAGCATACATTCACCAAGGGCAAGTCATGCCTGACCAACCTGACTGCCTTCTATGATGAGATGACTGACTCTATGGGTATGGGAAAAGCAGTGGATGTGATATACCCTGACTTTAGCAAAGCTTTGGATACAATTTCCCAGAGCATTCTCACAAGCAAGCTAAGGAAGTATGGGTTAGATGAGTGGACTGTTAGGTAGATAGAAGACTGGTTGATCATTGGGCTCAAAGGGTAGTAACCAATGTCTCAATGTCTAGTTGGCAGCCAGTATTGAGTGGCATGCCCCAGGGGTCTGTCCTGGGACTGGTTTTGTTCAGTATCTTCACCAATGACCCAAAAGATGAAATGGAGTGTACCCTCAGCAAATCAGCAGATCACACCAAGCTAGGGGTAGTAGACAAATAGAGGGTAGGGCTAGGATTCAGACAGACCTCAATAAATTGGAAGACCGGACTAAAAGAAATCTCATGAGGTTCAATAAGGACAAGTACAAAGTCCTGCACTTAGGATGGAACAATCCCATGCACCACTGCGGGCTGGGGAAGCAGCAGCTCTGCAGAAAAGGACCTGGGGGTTACAGTGGACAATAAGCTGAATATGAGCTAACAGAGTGTCCTTGTTGCAAGAAGGCAAACAGCATACTGGGCTGCATTAGTACATGTGTTGCCAGCAGAGTGAGGGAGGTGATTATTCCCCTCTTCAGTACTGGTGAGGCTACATCAGGAGTACTCATTTTGGGACCCCCACTGCAGAAAGGATGTAGACAAATCAGAGAGCGCAACAAAAATGGTTAGGGGGCTGGGACACACGACCTCTGAGGAGAGGCTGACGGAACTGGCCTTATTTAGTTTGCAGAAGAGAAGACGGGTAATTTAACAGCAGCCTTCAACTACCTAGTCTTCCTGCCCAGAGCAGGGGGGCTGGACCTGATGATCTCATGAGGTCCCTTCCAGCCCTACACTTCTGTGAATCTGTATACCTGAAGAGCAGTTACAAAGAGGATGGAGCTGAACTGTTCTAAGTGGTAGCAGATGACAGAACAAGGGGAAATGCTCTCAAGTTGCAGTAAAGAAAGTTTAAGTTAGGTATCAGGAAAAAACTCTCACTAGGAGGGTAGTAAAGCACTGGAACAGGCTACCCAGAGAGGTTGTGGAATTTCTGTTCTTGGAGGCTTTTAAGACCTGGTTAGATAGACAAAGTCTTGGCTGGGATGATCTAGTTGGGGACAGTCCTGCTTTGAGCAGGGGTTGGACTAGAGGACTTCACTGAGGTCCCTTCCGACCCTTAATTTTCTATGATTATTTCAGTTACAGAGGTTTATTTTCTCATATATAGCTGCCTCTCTTGGAATTGAAAATGTAAGACTCCAGTATCTGCTACTTTATTTATTCTTCTGTGTATTAGTCTATTTATTGAACCACTTAAATGTTGTTTGAAAATGGTAATACAACAGAAAAGAAAACAAAAAGTACTGTGCTGACAGTATCATATCAGCTCTGAACAGGAAACTGTGCGTTATTCTTTGCTTCCTTACAAGAAAATAAAATAAAACTGTAGCAGTACAGCATAATCATTTAAAAAACTATAACCAAATGATAAATTGATTAGATAAAAATCAAGGGCAAGCAACTTTCCAATACTGGTGGTAATGATTTTAGCTATCAAAATTTTACACTTAAAATCAGCCTAAAAGCAGTAGTTTCTATTCTACTGCACAGCATCTCAGGAGAAACTTCACAGTATCACATGGTTTGTTTACCTGGGAATTAAGAGCTGCTGAGTCCTCACTTTTTCCTTTAGCCAAAGCAAGTGGTACTTTATCTTGCTGATAAAGAGTCTGGACAGTGTCCTGGAAATCAGGATAACCATCCTGTTGAGCAAAAAAAAAAAAAACAACCCCCCCCCGGCCATATTATTTTTCTTTAAAAAGAGAAAAAAGAAGATGCGATTCAAAGTAAAATATTCTTTAATTCCTGTGAAAAATTGGGACATGGGTTGAAGACTCTGGAAAGAGAATTACATAAACTATGTTTTAGAAACAGTAAGAAACTACAGCATGGCTGGTACAATACATATCAACTTGTTTCATGCCATGCCTTACATTATTTGTATGCAAGTCCAGAGTAACACCTTCAAAGCCAATGGACTTAGTTTGACTTAAATCAGTATAACAGAGCAGAATTATACCCTGTGGGGGTTTTTTTTTAGTTTGCATCTAAAACTTTTGTAAGTTTTTTTCTCTTTTCTTTATAGAAATCAACATTATTTATGCCAGTCATTAACAAAATCAAAAACATGAGTGACCATTTTCTATCTGTAACATCCCTGATGTTTGCTACACATTCAGACTAAGGGCTTAAAATTGATCCTGGGTGAATACATACATTGAGCTGTATTCTACAAAACCCCCCAACAAAGGCTGAATTTAATAGTCTTAAAAACTGGACAGAACACCACAAAAGTTTAACACATTGCATAGACATACATACTGTTATCTAAAATTGATTGTATGGATCACTACTGAGCAAAATAGTTAAAACTTTATACGTTATAGAGAATATAGCTGGCCTGCTGGAAGGCCCAAGAATTCTTCTGTCTCTAATTTTTATGACACGTAAATTCTGTCTTCAAAAGGAGGCTAGACAGCCACCTAGCTGGGGTCATTTGACCCCAGCATCCTTTCCTGCCCATGGCAGGGGGTCGGACTAGATGATCTGCTTAGGTCCCTTCCGACCCTGCCAACTATGAAACTACATGCATCCTGCAACTCTACTATGCTATTTGTTCAACATG